GAAGAATAGGAGACATAGTATTTCAAGGAAAAAGAAGCTGGTAATATGATTGGATTTTGGTTGATTTGATGCAATTTCTTTTAGTAGGGTTGAAAATGGGTAGAGGTAATGGGTGATGGTTGCCAACCACCTTGGGTGGTAAGTTATTTTTATTGATAAACAATAGTAGTAAAAGGCAAATTAAGATAATATCCTAAAGAAGACTTAAGCTGTTATGATATAACCAAACAAGTAATAGAATTTAAACAAAATAGAGAAAGCTACTACTACTAATATACTAATCTAGTCGTAAATATAACACTAGGAAATACTCAAATGGGTATCGGTATAACAAAGATATTAACACATGAGCAAGGAAATCATAATTAATTAGACAAGTTTAAGAAGAATAAAAATATATGCATTGATGGTAAAGTCCAGGGTAGGTAAGAACAAGCATTAAACTAGTTACAATAGTAAGAAATAATGGAATTCTGTTAGAAAAAGAGTAAAAAAATTCCATTTATTTAATATATTCTAAAAATAGCTAAAGTATACAGGTCATGTTAGCATGTGCTCTATAGACTTAAAACCTCCACCCCTGTTTAGGCTCTAGTAGTCAGATGAAAAACCATTAACTAGAAAGATAAATGCCAGCAACCAGGTGCCTGATCCACAAATCCTACAACTTGAACATAGAAGAGTCTCACTTATAGTTACCAATACCCAACCAGACATTGGTATAAAAAACATCTATGAGTAGCAGACTACAGTATACAGAACTAGAAAACTAGATCTAAGCTAAGAAAACTTAGGAAATTCTCCAAAACTAACAGATGACACTCTTTAAGTATATATGAAAAGAAAACTCTAATTACAAAAAAAAAACCCATAAATCCAAGAACCTAAGTTCAATCATATAAGGCCTAAATAACTGAATCCATGTAGCTTTAAAAATCTATCAATAGCTAATTCTAAGTACTAGATAAAGTCATACTCATGAGCATATAGTCCAGTAACAGGGATACAGACGAGCCAAAAGTAAGAAGCAAATTCCTTCCAAGGAAAACAGGCAAGCATAAAGCAGTATAAAGGAGGCTATACTATCTATCTGTAAAGAGGAATAGGATAAAGTACACATGGCTTAAAGTAGAGGAAAAAAGTAGTAGGATGCTAGCAAGCAGTAGGATCTTAGTTACTATAGGTAATGTGTTGAAAGAAAAAAAAATTAGGTCTGGCAAGCACCCTTGTACTCACCCCTCTTTACTAAGAATACCTTCTTGGGCGTCAAAAATATCGGGTGGGAGAAGTAGACCTAAATGCAAAAACAACTATCAAAAAGGTGTTAATGTCTTAACCAGGCTACCTCGTTGAGCCACTAATGCCTTCAGGTGTAATCCTGTATCTCTTGTATAGTTCCTTATTCCATAAGAGATGGCCTTATCTAGTTTATATAATACTACTACCTGTAAGAGGTAATAGGTAGGAGAGTGGTAAAATTGACTGTAGCCTATTGAGGAAATCAGAACAACATTTAGCGTCTTTAGAAAGAGGCAGAAGGAATTCATTGTAATAGTGTACTATTAACTGTATTTCCAGCTGTCTGTTACAGAGAGAATGTAAAAACTCAACTGTACTGATACTAAGTAAGGCTAGAGTAAAAGCTTAGTAGAGGGAAAAACTGAAAACATAAAATGCTGGAAGAAGTAAGAAGAGGGTCTCAAGAGGATAGCCCTCAAGAGAGAAGGTAGGAGTAGTGTCCCAACATAATCAGAAAATAGAAAGTGATAGCCTAGTTCCTCCCCTGTGGGGAGGATCAAACACCAAAAGTGTTGTGAGAAGTCTGTAGTATTGAGTTCTTCCCAAATTGGAAATAAATTTCAATTACTGGAGGTATAATAGAGATAAAGGATGATAGAATTCTGTTATAATATTAGCATAATAATAAATTGTATTCTCTAAAGATTAAAATTACTTATTACTAGAAAAGAGGATAGTAGTATATATAAGTATATAGTCCTATTGTCGAAAATTGAAAATACTTATATTTTTAACTTTTTAATATCTCTTACAAAATTTGATTTGCTCATATTGTGCATGGACAAAGTTAACTGCGATTCAACAGAGGAAAATTTTCGGCGATGACAACCATACTCACCTACCAATCCACTATCATGAAAACCCCACAAAAAAAATTAAAAGATGTAAATACATAGTAGAAATTAATATTTAGTATACCATCCATCAGCCTTAATAATTGCCTCTATTCTATCCACTATTGATCCAGCTAAAGTATTAAAAATCTTTGGGTCAAGAAGTTTCCAATAATGAGTGATAGCCTCTACTATTGCCTTCTTAACCACATTAACATCATCCTTTATAAGATATAGCTCAGGGTAGTGCTTGTGAAGCTTACCTTCCACCAGAGATCAAATATTTTCAATTGGATTAAGATCTGGTAAATAGGCAGGAATTTCCATCAGTGTAATTCCCCACCCTCTGAGCCATCTCCTAAAAGGCAAATGAGTCTTAGCATTGTCAATGATAAAAAATACCTCTTATTCTCCAGCCTTTTCTCTGATATTTTCCCATATCCCTAGAAAGTCATAATGATCATAAATATCAATAATTGACTTCCCAGTAACTCCACCCCTAGCAGAAGAAGGATCAGAAAAAACAGGCAAAAAAAAACTATGAGTTTGACTATAAAAACAATCAGTCATCATTTGACTAATCTCTCTCCCCCCTCTCCTAGTCTTAGGTTCAACACAATCCTTATTCCATTTCTCATATAGGTATCTGAAAACCCATTTTCTCCTCTTTCCTCCTCTCCTTTCTACAGCTATCTCATCCCTCTATATTGCCTTCCTTCTCCACATCTCCTTTGTCCAATTCCTATGAGCTAATGTCCATTCCAACCTCTCTTAAGCTAGATCCTCATTCAAATGAACTCTCTCTTATAATATTCACTTTCTAAGATGCTTTTTTTTCAAGTATTCTCCCTACTGTCCTACTAGAAATATTGGAAGTAACTTGCTCAGCAATGTCAGAATAGGTAGTATGGTGATTTTTAAGAGCTTCCTCCACTATAGCATCATCCTATGACTTGGTAGTTTTAGAATGTCTTCTACCCTTATTCTTCTTACCTTCTTGATGTCCCTTTACAATTGTGTCTCTGACAGTAGTGTAGGGGATATTAAGGGAGTGGGAAATTTGCTGATATCTCATCTGAAACTCATGTAACCCAAGAATCCTCCTTCTGGTAAACTCAGAGAGATGTGTGGAGAGAATTGGTTTTTGAGCATAACTGTGAACAATAGGAAACATAGTTTATTGAAAAAAAAATTTGAGCAGAATGGTTTCTTCTTGGTTGACTTAGAGCAATTTTTTTAGGTACTATTGAGAGTACGGGGTAATGAAGAGGGGTGGGTTGCCACCGATTGTTGAATCGCAGTTAATTTTGTCAACGCACAATACATTTTGATTGTAGGAATCCAAATTGTTCCGTGATGTCTACTGAGATTATAAAGCACAACTGCAATCTGCAAACACTTTCTAGAAATAAGAGCAATGTATCCTACTGTCGTCAACATATCTCAGGTGAATAGATAGCACTTAGTATGATACTTTGCTCGAAAAATACCAAAAATCAAGTCCCTGCCTTATACAAATTAGCTCTGCCAAGACTTGAGGTGGTGTAGCTACTCCGACAGTG